CCCATAAATGTAGGCAGTTTGCTGAATTTCTATATTTTCTTCTGTGTTTCTCATTTTGAGCAGTTCTTTGTTTTCTGGCACTATATGAAAATGCAGGCTGATCTTGCATATTTTCTGCCCCAGTACTAGACTAAGCCATTTCTCTAAGGAGCCCTGGTTACTTTCTCTCTTGGAGATTAAATTACATTAGAGACCAAGATCTGAGTATGCTTTGGCTACTAGAGCATCATTGCTTTTAAGCTGTCAGCTAAGAGAGTAAGGGGATACATGTGTGTTAGGCTTCTTTAATAATAGAGAATAATTGCTGTGCTAATTTGAAAAGCAGATAAAATACTAGGAGTATTTTGAAAAATAACAGGACATTTGATTTTTTTATATTGAAGAAATTCAAATTGTAGCTAAAATGAGTATCAGAAAATGTGAAGTTAGACTCATACATCGCACCTGTACAAAAATTAACTCAAAATGGATCATAAGCATAAATGCAAAAGTAAATCCATAACACATAGAAAATATAGAAATACATGTTCATGCTCTTGGGTTCACTAATAATTTCTTAGATATGCTATCAAATAACATGACAAAAGAAAAAAGAAAATGGACTTTATCAAAATTTAAATTTTTTGCTGCAAATGATACCACCAAGAAAATACAGAGATCCTGGTGTGGTGCTGCATGCCAGTAATCCCAGTACCCTGGGTGACTGAGGCAGAAGGATCACAAATTTGAGCCCAGCTTGGACAAATTAGCAGTTTAGTGTGAATCTGTCTCAAAAATAAAAAAGGCTAGGGATGTAGCTCAGTGTGAAGGCCCTGGGTTCAATTCTCAGTAAACCCCATCCCCCCAACCGTACATTAAATCCTACAAAAGATTGCTTAGAGAAATCAAATACTTAACATAAATAGATATATCATAGTCATAGATTGGAAGATTCAATACTTTAAATGGTACTTTGCTCCCAAATTGAAGCATAGATCCTATATAATATTTTTTGTAGAATCTGACAACTGACTCTTAAAAATCTATGAGGTTCCTTATGATATCCAGAACAAGATCGCATGCTTATTTGTTTTGGAGATCTCTCAGAGATCCAGCTGAGAACCTTGCACGTGGAAGGCAAGCACCTTGTCACTGAGCTATATTCTCCAGCCCATAATAATTTTGAAAAAGAACAAAGTTGAAAGATTTATATTGCTGAATTCTAGGCTTGTAAAGCTACAGTTAGCAAGACTATGTTACATGAACAGTCATGTTAGTATAGTAGAACAATTGAGATGGGCCTCAAATATATGATTTAGTTGATTTTTAAAAATTAATTAATTTATTTGCTGTGCTGGGGATTGAATCCAGAGCCTTCATGCTGAGCTACATCTCTGGCCCTTTTTTAAATTTTGTTTTTGAAACAGAATATCACCACTGCCAAGTCATTTAGGTTGCCCAAGCTAGGCATGAACTCGTGATCTTCTTGCCACAACCTCCTAGTGCTGCTGGCCTGGCAGATTAGTTGATTTTTGTTAGAAATACCAAGGCAATTCAGTAGGTAAAGAATGAAATACACAAAATGTAATATGTAGAGTTGGTATAGCTCAGTGAGAGTGCTTGCCTAGCATGTGTGAGGCTCTGGGTTTAATCCCCAGCACGACAAATAATAATAAATAGTTATTCTTCCAAATCTACTTTATGCCATATACAAAAATTAACTCCTAATGGATCATAGACCTATGTAGAAAAGTTAATATAAGTTAAACATCCATCATCCAAAATCTGAAAGTTTTAGATAATGAAATGATTCAAAAAATTTCAAGTTTTAGGGGATGGGGATGTGGCTCAATGACAGAGCACTTCCCTAGCATGTGCAAGGCCCTGGGTTCAGTTTGTGGCACTGCTAAAAGTGTGTGTGTGTGTGTCTTCTGTCTGTCTGTCTGTGCGCGCGCATGCGCGCACGTTTAGAGCACTCCAGATTTTGGACTTTCAGATTTTATATGCTCAGTAAAGGACATACAAAGAATTCTGAATCTGAAAAACTCTGATTTTTTTGTTTTGATATTGGGGATCAAATATAAGGCCTTATGTACATTAGGCAAGTGCTGTACCAGTGCAGCCCTAAAATTTTTAATGAAAGAAAAATGTTACAAAGTGACTCTTGGGAACCCTTTAAACTCCCCAAATACCTGTAGGGAGAACGATGGAATAAAAGAGACAGCAACAGTATTCATTGTGCAGTGGGAGATTGGGAGAAATCTATCTTCAGTGGATCGCCTTCCTCGAACTCTAGGTGAACTCACTTTTATTCAGAAAGAGGTGCAATGGAGCAGATAGTAGTATACCATCCCAGGAACAGAGCCTGCAGTAAGTTTAGAATAGGACCAAGATAGGGACCAAGTTCAGCATCTCAAAGGGAAAAGTTAAGGTCTTTCCCCACACTGGGATGGCTGCATAATTTATTATCCCCAGTAGAAGCTATCTTGCCTTAGCTATGATTATGGCTTCCCACATAACCAGGAAGTCTGTGATCTTATGCATACTTGTCTGTTCCTGGGGCAAGTTAACCCAAATCTTGGGGTGCTGAGGGGCTCCTAATCTTGCCCTTCACCTCTATGCATATCATGGCTGGTTCCCAATAGCTGAGAGTATAGTAGTCTTCCTTTATCCATGGTTTTGCTTTATGTTGTTTCATTTACCCAGTTATCCTTGGTCTGAGGTAAGGAAGACATAATCTCTTCCTTAGTTTTAAATTGCATACCTTTCCGAGTTCCATGATGAAATCTCTAGCTTTCCCTCCCCATCCTGACCAAAATATGAATCATCCCTTTATCCAGTGCATTCACTACCTGCTTATTAGTCCCTTAGTAGCCATCTGTGTCACCAGTTCACCTGTCTGGTTTCATCGTAATTGTGTTCAAGTAACCCTTATTTACTAATGGTCTCAAAGAACAATAAGTGTTTTATTACTAATTATTGTTAATCTTGCTGTTCCTAATTTATAAATTAAAGCTTTATGTGGAAATATAGCTCAGTGGTAGATCACTGCGTAACATATGTGAGGCCCTGGGTTCACTTCCCAGTACCATCAAAACAGAACAAAAAAGTAATGTATCCACCAAAGACTTGTACACAGGTGTTCACTGCAGCTTTATTCTTAGTGGCTCCTAAGTAAAAACAAGTTTAAGTGAATAGATAAGCATACTGTGTTATATTCGTACAATTTAATGAAAAGTAAATTAACTACTTGTGAATGAAACAACATGGATGTATCTTTAAAAAATGCTGAATGAAACAGCCTATTAGAAAAAGAGCATATATTGTGTGATTTCAATTATATGAAATACTGGAACAGGTTATGCTAATTTATAGTGACAGCTGGGGTTATTGGTGGTTGTCAGGCTGGGGTTTGATTAAAAAAAAAGGAACAGCAAAGGAGTATGTGAAAAGTTGTGATGCCAGTGTCTTCATATGTATTGCGGTGGCACTGTTAAGTGATATATAAATTTATGAAAACACATTGAATTATTTACAGTACTTAAAATGGGTGTGCTCTCTTATCTGTATTATACTTTAATAAAGTTGTCTGTATGTCCGCATGTAGTATGTGTCTGTATGGTGCTGGGGATCAAACTCAGGGCTTTGTGCATGTTAAGCAGGCACTGTACCCCTCAGCCAATAAAGTTAATTTTGAGTTAGAAAAAAATTAAGTACATCTTAAAGTAGTATCTTTCAAACAAACAAAATCCATGTGCTATATCTAATTAATAATGTAGCCCATACAAAGAATAGTTCGTTTCTTTTTAATCTATATTCTAACTATATAGCCTTACAGAATATGATCTTGAGGACAAAAAGCACTGTAAGTAAATATTGAACTTTACTTGGTAGGTTATTTTTGGTAGAATGGTATTACAGTATTCTTGGATAAAGGTACTGAATAAATATATAGATTTAATTGTGAACCAGGACTTTGACTGTAGGTAATTGAAGATACCTACAGATTGAAAATGACAAGATGAGGAAATCAGTTGCCTATCTAATTTTAAAGGCTACAAAAATGTTCATACTGACAACTCTGATTCAAATCAAATACAGATTTCCTCATCTTCCCTCAAGGGCTTTACAAATAGGCCAGCTCTCTACCACTGAACTATAGCCCCAACCTCAAAATTGGAGATATGTACTACATTTTGTACTATTATTGAATTATATATTAAATTTCTTCATGTCCAATGATGATTGGTCCTTTAAGAGAACTGCCTTATTCCTAGAAGATACAGCTAAAGTGTTTAGCATTGCCATGATGTCTGCAAGTTATTTTTAAGGGTTTTAAAGAAAGAAATGTAACAAAACATTAATCATTGTTCAATCTCACCTGGTAAGTGTAGTTATATGGGTGGTCATTGTATTATTTTGATTTTTTATGAGCTTAAAATAAAAATTAAAAGGGAAAATTATCTTGTTCTGAATTATTTTCAGAATGTTTGAGTTATTGTGAGATAATATAAATTTATTTGTATTACCTGATATTCTGTAGAGCGTCAGAACTAACAAGGCTTTTGAATTTATTTTCTTTTGTCCCTTTTTCATATACATGAATAAATTAGCCCAACAGTAACGAGTCGCTTATATAAATCACACTGTAAACCAGCAGTGGATCTTAGATAGTGAACTCAGGTCTCCTGTTTCCCAGGATTTTACTCTCTGTACTGTACCCTGTTACCTCTCCTAGTAAAAGGCCTCTGAGGTAAAGCCGAATAGGTAAATACATCTTTCCTTTTTGTATATCTTCAGTATATTTTACCCATTGTGGCAGTGGATTTGTGGACGTGTGAGACTCATCTATCGATCAGAAATTGGGTCAAAGCCTTCTATTACTGTAATCTTTTGTTTTTGCCAGTTCCACACAATCCCCAGTTGAGGCAAGTTCTGCTTTCAGTAGTTGTCCTTGAAAAGTTTTGATGGTATAGTTTAGATTGTATGTTTTGGGTTATTGATTTTTTAATATCCTCTAGTTTAAGCTATGAAGAAGGACATCCCTCCCAGTCTGGACCAGATCTCCAGAGACAGACGGTTGCAGCCTCTCATCAGCTTCCTGCATATGCCCCTACACCTCAGCCAGCCGGTACAGTTTTCTTGTGAAGTGTGCTACCAGCCAGGGTACAATGAGTGGAGAAGAAAAACTGGTCTTTATATTTTGGGTTATAGATGTAATATGTGGGGCATGAATATGCCATGGAAAATGAGATGAAAAACTTTGGCTTTTTACTGATAAAGAATGTATATAACTAAGAAATCTTTTGTATCTTTGGAGATTTTAAATTATGATACTTGGTTAAATTAATATTTCTTTGCTATTTTAAAATAAAACTATTTCGTGTAATAGAATTTTTTGGACTCGGGCTTCAGAAATTCTTTTTTAGACTAGGGTAGGAATAGAATTTATGTACGTATATATTTTCACTTTGGGGTTTATCTTTCACTGTAGGACTTTCAGGAATATTTGAGACAAGTGTGAACAGTGCCAGCACCAACACTAAAGAATCTTCTGTGATGAATTTTCTCTCCACTATTGAGTCTCGAACTGCTCAGGCTGCTTCTTCAGGAACGAATCTTCTACCACAATTCAGGGCTCCATCCTGGCAGACAGGTGATTCTTTGTTTTTAGAATTTTTAAGTTCTTTAAAAATACTGATAAAAAATGTACCTTTTTTTGTCCTTGTGATTATGGTGTGGCTGAGAGTGACTGTAATTATTCATTTTCTGATGAACTTTAAAAACTTCCAGGGCTGGGGATTTAGCTTAGTGGTTTTGGTGCCTGCCTCGCAAGCACAAGGACCCGAGTTTGATTCCCAGTACTAAAAAAAAAAAAAATTTCATCTCTTACATATTTTTTCATTTGTTCGATTTTTATTTTTTGTTTTTTGACACAGGATCCTGGTTTGTAGTTCAGGCTGGCCTTGAGTTCACTTATGTAGCCCATGCTGACCCCAAACTTGAGGTTATCTTCCTGCCTCAGTTTCCCATGTGCTGGGATTACAAGGCATGCACCACTGTGCTTGGCTCTTACAATTTTAAGGTGCATAAAATGTAACAATTTGATCTAGTACTCTGATAAAAACTTGAGAGTTCACATTGAAGGGCTCATAATTATTAAGGATAAATTCTGATGTAAAGTTTTTGTTTTTTTGTTTTTGTTTGTTTTGTTTTTGAGAGAGAGTCTCACTATGTAGTTGAGACTGGCCTGGAATTCACTATGTAGCCCAGGCTGGTCTCAAATTTACAACAGTCCTCCTGCCTCAGCCTCCCGAGTGCTGGGATTATAGGCATGTGCCACCACGCTGGGCCTAAAGTTTGTTTTTGACTTTGGCAGCTTACATATTTGTCTGAGAGAAGTGAATATTAAATTTTGTTTAATGACTTCAGGCTGGGTGAGTGGTATAGTAAAAAATTAATCTTGGGAATCATTTAATCATTAGTGGTATACAAAGTTATCCTTAATTGAGCTGATTAAATCACTATTTAATAAAAGCCATTAACATTGGTATTGTTATATTATTGTATTGTACTTGTTTTTCATAATAATGTATTTTTCTATATTTCTTTTTTTTAAATTTCACTTTTCAATGATTTCTTTTAAAAATATTTGTAAACCCAGGTGTAGTGGTGTACGCCTGCAATCTCAGGTATTTGGAAGGCTGAGGCAAGAGGATTGTGAGTTCAAGGCTAGCCTAGACAATTTAGCAAGACATTGCCTCAAATAAAAAATAAAAAGGGGGACCAGGTATTTAGCTCAGTGGTGCTGCCGCCTGCCTCATAAGTGAGAGGTCCTGAGTTTGACCCCTGGAATCAAAAAGTAAATAAATAAAATTTTAAAAATAAAAAGGGCTAGGCATCTAGCTCAAAGTGGTAGAACACCCCTGGGTTCAGTCCTCAGTACTTGCGGGGAAGACTATTTGTATATCCAACTTCATTTTGTTTAGGATTACAGGAATGGGGGTTGTTTTAAGGAAGGAATGTCATACCATATTCGAGAAGATTTTAAAAGTAATAATTATAAGAAAAAATATTTTATTCTGTTGTGAATTTTGTAATAGAGCTTCTCAGTATATGTGGCAACACTTACTGCTTCTAAAGGCAAAATTAATGATGTAAAGTATTTACACTGTAAAGTATTTCTAGTGTAAAATATTTTTTAAAAGTGTGGTTTCATTATCTGCTCTGGAAATAAGTATATTTTTTGTATTTATTATCTTGACTTTCTGTTTTTCAGTACATTAATGCTAAAACTTAATATTAAAAGTTTGTTTTAAAATAAAACAAAGAAGGGCCAGGGATTTGACTCAGTGGTTCCACTGACTACCTCGCAAGCACAATGACCTGAGTTCAATCTCTGGTACCACAAAAAAATAAATAAATAAAATAAAACAAAGGAAAATTTGTTAATGTTTTTGATGTTTAAAGAAGGCAGGAAGGCTTTTAACTCAGTTCTGAGCCAACACTTTCTGTAAATTGTTCTTAATTCTGTACAGTTTGGTTTTAAGTTTTTTATGTTTCAAGTTTCTAAAAACTTGGTCAGGCATGGTAGTGCATGCCTATAATCCCAGCACTTGGGAAGCTGAAGCAGGAAGATTGCCACAAGTTTGAGGCCAGCCTGGACTATATAGACAATGTCTCCAACAAAAATGTTTTTTAAAATTTAATTTTATAATTTGTATCTGGTCTCATAATTGAATTGCATTCAGAAGGTCCTTGGACTCGGGTTAATCAGATAGAAGTTTATGATCTTTGTATTTTTTTGTTCTTTTTTTCTAGCGCACCCCAAATTGTATTGTCATAAGCCCACATAAAAATATTGGTGGACATTTTTTTGTGCACATTGAACTGGACCTAATATACCTTCTTTATTTTTTTTTTTGTTTTTATGTTTTTTTGTTTTTTGAGACAGGGTCTCACTGTGTAGTTGAGTCTGACCTGGAACTGATATTGAACTCACAGTGATCCTCCTGCCTCAGCCTCCTGAATGCTGGGATTACAGACATGTTCCACCACGCCCGGCACTAATATACCTTCTATGGGAAATAAGACAAGAACATAAATACACAAATACAGCATTAGTTGAAAGAAGGTATTGGTGTTAATGTATTGGGATAAGGAGCATCTTTTTTGTTTTGTTTTTTGAAGCAGGGTCTCACTGTGTAGTCCAGGCTTCCCTTGAACATGAAGAGATCCTCCTGCCTCAGCCTCCCATCACTAGGATTACAGGATTGCTCTCACACCTGGCTGGGATAAGGAACATCTTAGGTTGGAATGTCTGAGAATGTAACATGAGTGTTGAGTGCCTTTCACAGTGTCTTCTGTTGATATGCTGTGGTGAATTTGCTACCCTCTATGACTCCCTTCTCCACTGATCTGTCATGCAGAAGCCAAATGAGAAAAATCCTTTATTGCTCTACAGTATAGAAGAATTTCAAGTAATAGAAACTTATTACCCACTATTTTCAGGTCCAGGTAGTCTCTCGCCTTTGTTGCCCTCTTTATTCCAAGCATAACTGTGATAACGTCAGTTGCCACTGTTAACGATGGTGGGTTTGTTAGCTAGTACAATGTATTACCTGAAAACATGCTCTAACTTTAGTATAACCTTTATAACCAAATTATGTATTTGTAACCTTGTATTTAGCCAAGTTTCAGTTCTTTACTACTGTCTATCTTTAATATTTTAGCCCTTCCCCCTAAACACACATAAATAGATATACCTGGTACAGAGGCATAAGTAAGTTGATTAGAAGTTTATGAATGTAACTGAGTAGTCCTTTAACCTTGGTAAGTTACATTACTTCTCTGTAGCATAGTTTTCTCACTGATAGAGCAAGAGATTCTAGATGATCTCAAAAGTCTGTTCTAGTACTGTGACTATTGTTTCCCCTTTTGCCAAAAGGAAAGAAAAAATTATCATTGAACCTAGGACCTTGATTGAGCATAAACAAAATTCTTAACGGACACTCACTATGAAACATTTAAACAATAAAAATGCATAAAGGGGGAAATGATAGTTCCTAACTTCAGCCTCACTTTTTTAGGAAGAAGTTAACAGTTTGATGTTTATTTTTCTTGTTAAAACATACACACAGTGTGACTTTAAATAAAACACAGTGAATGTTTAAATTTTAAAATTCTATTACATTAAAAGATACATTGCTATTAATCACCATCAAAATGCTTCCCTTTGCTTTTAATGCACATATTTTCTTCTTGCCACTTTCTGAAGCAGTTCTAGAAGTGCTTTCATGAAGGTTTTAGTTGTGTTGTGGCTCCCTTGACATCTTGAGTCAATTCAGAATGTTTACCTTTCATGGTCATTTTGACTCTGGAGATGAGCCAGGGTGCTATAACCAGTGAATAAGGGTGCATGAAGATGCAGTGGACCCTTGACTTATGAACTCATTTCTTTTGTGAGGGCTGGTTTTAGCTCAAGTTGATTGTAAGTCAAGACTATTTTTCCCATTGGAAATACCCATAATGCATTCCAAACTTCCCAAAGCATGCCTTAACCTTATCATAATAAAAACGGGTTGTATACTGTACATAATTTACCAGAAACACCAATAATTTTCGTAGTGTATTCACCAAAAAGTTATAAAATGTGCTTAGTTTGCAAGAAACAACAATTTCTTACTATGCTCACTATTCAAATTGACATCTTTGCAGGAAAGGAGGATGAAATGGAAAGTGGTTATTATTTGGAAGGAGTATCCCCTTCTGTAAGAAATCTGGCTCTCTGGTGCTTTTGGCTCACTAGGTCTCAACCTTCTCAGAACTAAAAACTGGTCTAAGGCTGACTGTTTCTGTCTTTTCTTTAACACTGTTCTATAATACGACATGACATTGTCATTAAGAAAGTGAATGGAATGATGGGCTTTTTCTGTTTTGATGGTCTTCTGTACAAATTTTTGCAGCTGTGTATTTTTTCAGAATTTCCTTTCAGAAGAGCTTTGCCACACTTGATTGTTGCTACTCCCCCTCCTCTTCAGAAAGCTCCTCAGTTGCCATTCTCTCTGTTGCTCAGCCAGAAGTTGCTGAAGTTCCTCTGTAGACAGTTCCTCTGGGTGTTCCTCCCCCAGTTCCTCAGCATCGCCTCTGTCTACCTGCAAGTCTATGGATTCTCCTGTATTGACAGTGTCATCAACCAAGAGTCAATCGAAGGCTTAGGCTCCTTTACACAGCCCTCAAAGTCTCTCTCCTATATAATTTTAGGCCACACTTTGTCCCAGGCAGATTTCAGTGTCTTTAGAGAGACAATGGCCTAGGATTTCTTAATGAACCCCACACAGGAAAGGATGTTGTAATGTTCCTTCCAGAACTCTTTAAGGGTTGAATTTGTATCTGAGGCCATCTGGAAACACTTCAGAAGCAGTTTCTTGGTGTATAGCTTTTTAAACTTGGCTATAACCTGCTGGTCCATAGGCTGCAGTAGTGGAGTTTTATTAGGTGGAAGGAACTTGACTGAAAGCCATGGGAATTCTTCAGCCAGCTCTTCCAAATCTTGTGGGTGAGCAGAAGCATTGTTTGTGGTGAGGAGAGCCTTGAGTGGTAAACCTTTGTCCTCCAGTTATTTCTTAACAATAGGGCAGAAAGCTTCCCTGATCCACTCAATAAAAAGTACTCTTGTTACCCAGGATTTTGTGTTAGATCTCTACATTAAACCCAGTCTATTCTTCATAACTTTATGTTTTCTGAACACTGTAGAAGTCTCAGAGTGATAAACCAAGAGAGGCTTTGTCTTGAGGTCACCACTCACATTGGCACGTAGCAATAAGGTTAGCCTATCCTTCATAGGCATTTGTCTGGGCATTTTCTTCTCCTCCCGGGTAACGTATTTTCTCCTGGGCATTTTCTTCCAGAAAAGGCCTTTTTCATCACAGTTGAAAATTTGATGAGAGCAAAAGCTATTTCTCTGTCATCGTTCTGAACTGGTCTGACACTGTTGAATATGACTTACTAATTTCAGTAACACCTTTAACAACATTAGCTTCCTTATACAAATCTTTTCTCTGTAAAGTTGTCAAGATGGTGAATTTCAACATGGTGTGCATATTACCAGGATTATTCACACAAGTGCCACTCTCATATTTCTCCACAATTTCCTTCTTTTTTATTGTGATTGCTTTCTTTACCTTCCCTTTCCTTCCTTAGCTTCTTTTCTAGCTTTTTGGGGGGCCATTTTTATAGCAGTAATTGTAGCAATTATATAAAGCACTGACCAAAACCATATCCACAAATGTGCATCAGGGCTCAGACTGACACATACATTTTTTCTGGAATCACGAGGCTTTGTTTACAACTGCACAAGTGGCCAGCATTTGGGTCATAACTCAATACTTTGGTCTTCAGTCAAAACTAAAATTTTGATCATCCCCCAAGTTGTTCATGTATTTGGCCACTCATAGCTGTAGGGTCCACTGCACTAGGATTTAAGAGGTGGCTATAAAAAGAATTAGAATGGGCCATGTGTGGTAGCCCACACCAGTAATCACAACACTTAGTAGGTTAAAGCAGGAGAATCACTGCAAGTTTGAGATCAGCTTGGGCTGCATAGTTCAAGGCCAGCCTGAACTACATAAGGAGACCCTGTTTGAAACAAACAAAAGAAATAAATAAAGAAAAATAATTAGAGAACAAAAAGAGATGGTTAAGATAGCAAATATCTGTTGTTCTACCTGTCCATTAGTATCATTCTTCTGGACATAATTCTTCTAACCAGATTCAGTTTGGAACTGCTGTGTTCTTATAAGCCCTGCCTTCCAGACTACAATTAATTGTGATCAACCAATTATAGTGATTGGTCCAGGTCCATTTGACCCATGATAGGCCAATTGGAGCCTCTCCTTTAGAGTTGGGGTCAGTGAAAGAAGTTCTCAGACCTTCTGTGATGTTTTAATCATTCACTGTATATTTTGACCACCTGTTGTTTATCTGCCTAATCATGGTTAATTTTCAGTATATGGCCTAATGATTTGATTGTCTCTCTTGTTGGTGGACATTTTAGTTATTTATACTTAGAAATAGCTGTGGACACCTTGCATAGATATCTTTGAGTCCACTTCCATAGGATTAGTGTCTAGAAGGAGGACTTCTGGATCACAACTTTTTTTTTTTTTTGGTACCAGGGATCGAATTTGGGTCCTTGTGCTTGTGAGGCAGGCGGCAGAACCACTGAGCTAAATCCTAGGCCCTAATTTTTGTTTTAAATTTTTTTAACAACATTTTTATTCTTTTTATATGTAGCTAGAATGCTGACCTGAAATGTTAATCTCATTCATTTCTTATGATCCTTTCATAATAAATCTGCATTTATTATTACTGGGAAGTTGTTCAGAGGAAGCCAGTCCTGAAATGCAAGAGATTTTGAAATGAATATATTCTGGTAAAAGGAAGTGCTATTTTTAGATTTACTGTCTTATTAAATGTATGCTGTTTAGTGTTGATGTTTCAGTTTCAATGATTTATATAATTTGTTGCTATTTTGCATTAAAAATGCAAAGCATTCTTTTTTTTTTTTGTTTTTTGAGACAGGGTCTCACT